CTTCCTTCCTTCCTTCCTTCCTTCCTTCCTTCCTTCCTTCCTTCCTTCCTTCCTTCCTTTCTTTTTCTTTTTTGAGGTACCGTCTCACTGTGTAGACCAGGCTGACCTTGATCCCATAGAGATCTGGCTGCTTCTCCTCTGAAGTTGCTGGGATTAAAGGTTTGCATAACCATGCTCAGCTTTTGACTTGTTTTTTTGAGGCAGGGGGTCATGCAGCTGAGACTGGCCTCGAAACCACTATGTAGTGGAGAATGACCTTGAACTTATGACTTTGTAATTTTCATCACTGGTGGGGTTACAGACAAATGCCAAGTTAGTTAGTTTATGTGATTTTGAGGATTGAATCCAGGGCTTCTTGCTTTCTATGCAACTAAACCACATTCTTAGCTATTCAACTAGACACCTGAAATATTTATTTTTATTTTATGTATATTGGTGAATTACCTGCATGTTTGTGTACCACATGTGTGGTTGGTGCCCATGGAGGCCCGAAGAAGGCATTGGATTTCTTGGAACTGGAGTTATAGAAGGTTGTGAACCTCTATGTGGGTATTGTGAATGGAACCGGGGTCCTCTGGAAGAGCAGCCAGTGCTCTTAACTGCTGAGCCATCTCTCTAAGGCCCTCAATTACATACTCTTAAATTTTTTCTCCAGTTTTACATGTGAAGAACTCAAGTATCTGAGGACATTCCAGAAGTTACAAGTTCTCTAATGACTGTTCAAGAAAAAATTGTGCCCACGCATGATAGCTTAGGGCCTATGATCTCAGAACTTAGCAGGTTGAAGCAGAAGGATTGAAAGTTTGAGGCTCTTGTGGGCTATATAAGAAGACTATCACCAAAAATATTCTGGAGAAGCTATGGCACAATGACTTCCTGAGATGTCGGGACCGAAAATTAGTTTTTTTTCCCCAGTGGACTTGTTCCTAGGTATCTCAGAGTCACAAAATTGGCTTGACACTGACAACGATTTTCACTGGCCACGGTTATTTAGCAAGGCTCGCCTACAAGTACACAAGAGCCATGGGCCTATGTTGCCACCTGCTGGCCATCGCAACACAAGACGATGTTTTCAAAGCTCACAGCCTAAGGAGCGCCTGAGAGCTGTTCCTGTCACTCAGCTCACGCAAAGCAGTTTTAGCCAACCAGAGCCTTCAGGCAGGTTGTCCAATCAGAAGCTTCTGGGAGGCAGGGGGTGGGGCCAGTGTTCTTTCCGGCCGCCATGCTAGCTAAGGGTTCTTCACCAGGGCTGAGCGAGGTCACTGCGGGTGCCGCTGCCCGGAGCTGTGAGGGGAGCGCGGACGAGCTCGGCGGCCGCGCCATGGTGAGCGCGGGGCCGCTGTCCCCAGCCGGGGCGGAGCGTCCGGCTGAGCCGCGGGAGCCGGTGTGCCGGGTCCTCCCCGGGGCTGGGGGAGCGGGCGCGGGGACGCGGCGCCTGCCCAGCGACCTGGGCCCTGCCCGGCGGCCTGCGGGTGCTTCCGCCTTGATGGTTCTCTTCCGCGCCAGCGCTGAGCGGGAGGCCCCGCCCTGCGGGGGGGCGGGGAGCCCGAGCGCGGGTGACGTCCCGGTCGCGCCTGTCCTGCCTTTTGGGGCTGCGCTGGAAGGCAGCTTGCTAGACTGAGGTTCTTTGTGGTGTCTTCTAGAAGTACTGAACTTTGCATTCCAAACGCAGATATAGGATCCTTTTTCGGTTAATTTTGCGACATTTGTAAAGTCTGTCCAGTGAGTTTCTTTGCAAAGGTGTTCAGAAACAGCTGTGGAAAAGACTTTTCTCACTGATTTTTGTTGTTGCTGTAGTCTGTTTGTTCTTCTGTCAAATATACTTTGACTATATTTTTGTCTTTATTTCTGTTTATGTGTTAATATTTTTCCCCAAATAGTGCATTGTTTTGAGTACTGAAGTCTGATGGGAAATGTAGTTAGGAAGCATTGCAGCTGGGTCTTTTGTATTGTGTTCATCATTGCCTCATTTCCACGCACCTTTGATGTTCCCTGTTACGATAAATATTTTTTTTAGGATTTTATTGGAAGTGTATTGATTGAGCTTCTAGTTTAAACTGAGAGCCAACATCTTATTAAGACTTCCTATCACGAGTGTGGTATGCTAGATATAGATGAACACATTTGTATTTTCCCATAGTGTCAGAAAATTTTTGAATAACAATAAATTCAAAAGGCACAGTGGTTTTGAAGGTAGCAATTTCAGATAATTCCACTTACTGTGGTAATTGGGACAAGGCTAATGCAGGTTTATTCCAGTCTTAATTAGTAATATTCTTAAATCACACAGCACAGTATAGCTGTGCATACATGTAGTTTATAAAATGAATACAAGTAAAAGAAAAGGCAGAGAAGTGGGCCGAGAGACATGCAGTGGGCCGAGAGACATGCAGTGGGCCGAGAGACATGCAGGTAGAGCCTGTATTGGTATGCTAAGGAACTCAAACCTAGGATGCCCCAGGGAGGACTCAGTTTTGTCAGCCCTGCTACAGAGTTCTAGTTGCTGGATAGAAGGTGGAACCAGGCTTTGAGAATAGGCAACTGGGTTCAGGTCCAGGTCTAGATTGGGAGGGATAGGCAGTGGAGAGGCCGGGCTAACAGAGGTTGGACCTAGTTTATTTGAAACCTTGGGGACAGGAGTTCCCTGTCTGTCCCTTCACATACATGCCAAGTATGAGATGATAGTTTGGTTGGGTTGGGGCCAGCCATCCTCCTGCTTGGTGTCCGTCACTTTATGAGGCCAGGAGAGGGAGTTATATACTTTCCTGGTCTGGCAGGTTCTTGGCCTTGGTTTCCCTGATAGTGTTTTAATACACTCATGTGCCCCTGATAAACTTATAGAGTGGCTCCCTTTCTGTTCCTGGGAATAAGCCATTTATCAGTCTTTGCTGTTTGAGTGAACAGGTAGTGTTGTTGTGGATCTACTCTAGGGGTTGTAGTCATTCTCTTCTCTTAAAATGGAGTCAAATGGAGTTTCAGGGCAAGGCACTGCCTAGAAAGAAAGCCACTGTTTTTCACAACATGGAGTAACTGGAACAGGGCACAACCTGATCTCAACACTGAACATATCTTGGATATGGATATCCAGGATTCTGCAGTAGCACTCTCTTTATTAAGTAGATTATTTTCATTAGTGATTTGTAGTTTGGAGCTGGAGAGATGGTTTAGTGATTGAGAACTTGCTGCTTTTCTAGAGGACTGGAGTTCCATTCCCAGTGACCACATGGTAGCTTACACCTATCTGAAACTCCAGTCTGAGGGGATCTGAAGCCCTCTTCTGGCCTTCATGGGTACCAGGCACAAATGTGGAGCAAACAAACACCCATATAAATATATATGTATTTAAAAAAAAATAATTTGTGGTTAATGTCTGCAGGCTTACCCTCCCCCTTTTGTTTTGTTTTGTTTTCTTTCTCTTTTCTTTCTTTTTTTTTTTTTTTGAGACAAGGTCTCACTGTGTGATGTGTCTGACCTGGAACCCTGGAATTTTGTAGACCAATCTGTCCTGGAACTCAAAGCAATCTGCCTGCCTGTGCCTTCCAAGTGTGTGCAGCACCATACCCAGCATGTCTGTAGTTCTTTGTGTATTCCTTACAGTACTGTGTATTACAAACAGTATAGTATTTTTATTTTAACATCCTATTGTTCATTGCCAAGGTATAGGCATAGGATGGAATTATGTATCCTACATGTTTGCTATAGTATCTCATTAGTTTCTTGAACTTTTGTTGGTTTTTGAGATTTTCTTTTTTATTTCTTCTGAAAAAGCTCCTTTCCCCTTTTGTTGACATACAGTCCCCCTCACCCTCCACCGCCTAATTATTTGTATAATATAATTTAAATTTATTTCTATATTATATATTTATCTGCCTGCATTTATGTCTGTGTACCATATACATGCCTGGTGCCTGTGGAGGACAGAGGAGTGTTGTGGGATAATTGTTTTGTTCACTGTGAAGATGTGTATCTACCTAAGGTGCCTTTTGATTGACTTAATAAAGAGCTGAATGGCCAATAGGTAGGCAAGAGAGAATAGGTGGGACTTCTGGGGAGAGAGAGGAACTTGGGAAGAATCTGGTGCTTGGAACTAAGCCAGTGAGATGCACATGGCAGAATGTCGATTAATATAAATGGGTTAGTTCAAGTTATAAGAGCTGGTTGGAAAAAAGCCTAAGCTAAGGCCAAGCCACGTCATTATTTGAGAACTGGTGGTACAAAGAAAGTCCGACTACAGAGGAGGGTGTTGTATCCCCTGGAACTGGAGTTACAAATGGTTGAGAGCCACCATGGTGCTGGGAATTGAACCTGGATCTTCTGGAAGAGCAGGCAGTGCTGCTTTTAACCCCTGAGCCATCTCTCCAGCCTGATCATAGGATTTTTGTTATTTACTTGTTGATGATAGATTACATTGATTTTTAACTTTATGGGGGGAATGGGATGAGTGTTGGGAATTAAACTCTGGTCCTTGTGTGCTCTGCCATTGAACTTCATCCACAAACTGAATTTTGAAGTTTTAATTGGTTTTGCATACCTGTCTTAATTTCTACTTGGTTGTGGTACGTAAGTTTTTGATTTGGTTTAGTTGATTTCTTTATTACATTGAGGGAGACCCTTGGGTAGGTAAAGATGGCCTTGAACTCCTGACTCTTGCTGCTGCTCCCAAAATGCTGGAATAGTAAGTATGAACCGGAACACTTTTTTCCTTAAGACTTTTATAACTGTTAACAAATTTCCCCTTTAACAATTTCATGAGTGTCTAAAATGCATGCTGTGGCTCCTGTCCTCTAACAGCCCTTACGGCCCTAGTCCTGCCTTATCCCTGCAATTCCCTTTCAGTCACTGGTGTCTCCTTTCTTCATTTTCTCTTGGAACCCCTGAGTTAACCAGGATCACCTATGAGTTAGGAACTATTCATGGAAGCTTGGTAGGCACCTCAGTGGGCACACAACTAAAGACAATGACTTCTTCCTCCAGAGTCTTTCAGTGGTCAGTAATTCAAGGAAGAGTAGTACACTGTATGCCCCTCTGACCTATAATTGACTGTTGATATGTAATCCCATTGGAGGTGACCACAACCACTGTGAAGTCATGACAGCATTGACTGCCATACCCAGAAATCAGCATTTCACAGCCTTTCCCCCTCTCCTCTGGCTTTACATTTTCACCCTTCCTCTGCTGTGATCCTTAAGAGGTAGTGGTGTAAATGTCCTATTTTGGGCTGGAGAAATGACTCAGAAGTTTAAGAGCACTGGCTGCTCTTCCAGAGGACCAGAGTTCAATACCTAGCACCTACATGGTGGCTCACAACCATTTGTAATTCCAGTTCATCTTCTGACCTCTGTGGGCACAGTACAAACATGTTGCACAGAAATACATGAAAGAGCTGAAAGGTGGCGGGGCACACCTTTAATCCCAGCACTCAGGAGGCAGAGGAAAGGAGGATCTCTGAATACGAGGCCAGCCAGGGCTATACAGTGAAACCCTGTCTCAAAAAGCCAAAACAAACAAACAAACAAACCAAAAACCCAAAAACAAATCCCATGAAGGCTTAACATCCACACATAAATAAAAATAAATAAAATTTCAAAAGCAAAATTTAAAAAAAAAACTTAAAAAAATGTCCTGTTTAGGGTTGAACATTTAACCATCACTTATTCTTGGTGCTTTGAACACCCATGCACCCTATGTTCACTGACATTCATTGCAAAGGGAGGAGTATCATTTCATTTGTTTATGGGTATGAACATAAATATTTAGAAAGTAATCTGGTCTCAGGACAGTTGAGCTGAACACTATTAGTAAGAATACTCCTAGAGGCTAAGACCTCAGCTGTGGGTTTTGGCCAGATTTACAATACCAGGTATGCATTCCCTCTTGTGAAGCATGCCTCAAATCTAATCAGAGTGGTGGGTTATTCATTTAACAGTTTTTATAAAACTTGCATATGACCCAGTGTCTTAGTCACTGTTCTATTTCTGTGAAGCGACACCATAACCATGACAACTCTTATGAAACAAAGCATTTAATTGGGACTTGCTTAGAGTTTCACAGGTTTAGTCCATAATCATGTCAGGGAGCCTGGTGTCATGCAGGCAGACAGGGTACTGGAGAAGTAGCTTAGAGTTCTACATCTGAATCTCGAAGAGAGAGACGCTGGGCCTGGTTTTGACGTTGGAAACCTCAAAGCTCACCCCCAGTGACACATCTTCCAACAAGACCACATCTCCTAATCCTTCTCAAGTAGTGCTGCTCTCTGATGACTAAGCATTCAAGTCTATGAGCCTGTGGGGGCTGTGTTTATTCAAGCCACCACAGCTATAATATTCCTAGGCATATACTCCCAGGACTCTGTCTTACTACAGAGATGTTTGCTCAACCATGCTCATCATTGCTCTATTCAAAATATAGGATATAAGAACTGCCTAGATGACTATCAATGATGAATGAGTAGTGAAAATGTAGTATATATACACATAATGTGTGCGTGTGTGTGCATGTGCACACCTAATTTATGTTGTGGTAAGATGATGGCCTCATAGTTTAAATTCGGAAGTGTTTGCTTTTCTGGAACGCATGGTACCAGATTGGTGTAAATTTGTTTTTGTATTTTTAAGACAAGTCTCTATTAATTAATCTCACTCTGTAGATCAGGCTAGCCGAACTCAAAAGATCTCCTGCCTTCCTCTCGAATGATAGGATTAAAGGTGTGCATTACTGCACTCAACATGGTGTAAATTCTTTTTTTTTTTTTTTCGTTTTTTTTGGAGACAGGGTTTCTCTGTGTAGCTTTGCGCCTTTCCTGGAACTCACTTGGTAGACCAGGCTGGCCTCGAACTCACAATGATCCACCTGGCTCTGCCTCCCGAGTGCTGGGATTAAAGGCGTGCGCCACCACCGCCTGGCTGTAAATTCTTAACTGTGTGGATCTTCCTTATTTTTTTCCCATTTGAATTTTTCAGATTTTTTTCCCTTTGTCATTTTACTTCTTGATTTTTATGGCTGTATTACTTGGTTTGCTTTGGTACATTGTGCAACCTTTATAAATAAAACACTGAGCGATATGACAAGAGCATGGTGAGAACATGGACAATAGAAAGGTAAAGATAGAGCATAGTCACCGGGCTTCAGAGGGGCTCTTTGAAAGGTGCCTGATGATACATGTAATAAAGTATTGCTGGAAAAGCTGAGAACATTAAAAACAGAGCTAACCGCTGGGTGTGATAGTGCACACCTTTAATCCCAGCACTCAGGAGGCAGAGATAGGTTGATCTCTGAGTTTGAGGCTAGCCTGGTCTACAGAGTGAGTTCCAGGACAGCCAGGGCTACACAGAGAAACCCTATCTCGAAAAACCATAACCAAAACAAAACAACCCCCTCATCCTGAAAACAAAAACAAAAACAAAGAACAACTAAAATACCAGAGCTAGCCACTTCTAAACCTCAGATTGGAAACTTTTACCATATGTGGCTTTAGCGAGCTTGGGCCTCAGCCTAGGGTCCCACTCAGGTCACCCTTCTGAGCCCAGGGGCTTTAGCAGAGCTCGAAGCAGGCTGTGTGCTAGGATTTGGCCAGCAGTGTGATGGGGAAGAAAGTGCAGGTTGCTGCTAATGGAGCTCAAGACACATCTAGTCACAGGTAAGACTGGTCTGAGAGGAGCCTGTGGGTGGAGTGTGAGGGAGCATTCTCAGTGGGAACACAGGTCCTGGATATTGCTGATTGCTTGTATGATGGCTAATCTTCAGTTGACTTGATTGGCTCTGGAATCAACTAAGAGGCCTGTCTCTGTGCAGGTCTGCCAGGGGATTTCAGGAAGGACTAACTGAGGCGAGAAGACCCTTTCGTATAGTGGGTGGCACTTTGAGTGTGACCTCAGTAGAGAGAGGTCCAAAGAAGAAGCAGTGTTGCTTTCCTGCCTTCCCTTCGTGCTGGTGAGTGCATCTGTCCATTGCTGCTGCTGCTACTGCTGCTGCTGTTCCGCCACCACCACATCCTTCACTGACATTGGAACCCAGCTTCTTGGGCCTTCCAGTGTGGACTGAAGAGCAGAAGCTGTCCAGGTGTGCTCTGGGCCTTTGGCACCTGATTGAAGCTCCTGAGGCTTCTAGTCATCGTGGATGGAGCCTCTCCATCATGGAGACAGCCATTGTTGGACTGTGCAGGCTGGATCAGGTAAGTTGTAATTTAAATAAAGTAATCTAATAAACTCTCCTTGTTATTTGTTCTTTTAGTTCTAACCTCAAGAGAACCCTGATTGAGTCAGATAGCTACCTATATCCTCCTATTTTTCTTATGCACACCTTACACATTATTTAAATCATCATTCTCTATTTAATTTAATTTAATTTTACCCTCAGGATTGGCAAGCTGTAAGCTCTGGCAGCTGCCAAGAAGTGGAGATAGGTAAGAGAAGAGAAAGCAATGCCACATGAGTTAAATTGGCGTATCAGTCCCATGGCAGATAGGCCCAAAGTACCAGAAAAACCACATTTAGGCTTCAGCCAGCATCCTAAAGAGAAGATAATCACACATGGAGGCTTATTCTTTCTTATGAATGCTCAGCCTTAGCTTGGCTTATTTTTAGCCAGCTTTTCTTAACTTAAATTATCCCATCTATCTTTTGCTTCTGGGTTTTACCTTTCTCATTTCTGTATATTTTTTCTTTCCTTCTTATTTCATGTCTGGCTGTATAGCTGGGTGGCTGGTCCCTTCTGTTTCTTCCTCCTTGATCTCTCCCAGATTTCATCTCCTATTTATTCTCACTGTCTGCAAGCCCCACCTATCCTTTCTCCTGCCTTGCTATTGGCCATTCAGCTCTTTATTAGACCAGTCAGGTGTTTTAGACAAGCAAAGTAACACAGCTTCACACAGTTAAATAAATGCAACATAAAAGACTGCAACACTTCTTTGCATCATTAAACAAATATTCCACAGCATAAACAAATGTAACACATCTTAAAATAATATTCCACATTTCCCCCTTTTGTCTAAATACAAATGAAAGGTTTTAACTTTAACATAGTAAAACTGTACACAACAAAAACAGTTATCAAGTAAGAATTACATTTATGATATTCAGTCCATTTATTTGTATTTAGCAAATTCAAAGAAAATACTCCATTATCTATCTTAGTAATTCTGAAGTTTTATATCTGATTTACTAATAACTAAGGAAAATTATAACTAACTATTTAGTCTTTAACTCCATCAAAGACCCCCAGAAGGATGTAGTATTATCTAACAACAGAGTCATTTTGCTGCCTGGACAGTCATCCAAAGTTTCTCTTTGGGGTGTCCATCTTCAGCTTACAGGCCCAGAATATCTGGCAGACTTTTCAGTGAAGCAGGAAATTTGAAGGACTGTCCTATCTTGTATTGGCAAAGTTTGTCAGTCTCTTTTCTCTGTCCTGCAGAATGTCTGGCAGACTCTTCTGAAGGACCATCCCATGTTTTGCAAAATTCAGCAGTCACTTTCCTGTGGGTCATGCATGTCCAGTTTTTATAACAGTGAAGGCAAAAGCAGTTTCTTGCCCAGATACTAACCTTGCCACATTGAAAGCAAGCTCCTATGGAGTTTTTTTTTGATGCCTATCATCCTTTTGTGAAGGAAATTGATGTGCCAGGAACAGATGTGTCTCATTGTCATGAAAAGCCTTAAGTTAACAAGACATTTTAAATGCCATATTCGGTAGGTCTTTGAAGTGTTTGAAGACATTTATCTAAAATATATCTCTGTATCATCTTGAAAATAAGCCTAACATAGCTACAAATTTGATTGTTATAGACGACTAACTACTAACCTGTGTTTCTTAATTATCCTAAATAGTTCATAATAATAATAATAGCTTTCAGAAACTAGAACTTTACCTTATGTTTTTATTTTTATTTCTTTTTAATTAATTAATTAATTAACTTTGGTCTTTGAGACAGGCTTTCCCTGTGTAGCTTTGTGCCTTTCCTGGAACTCACTCTGTAGCCCAGGCTGGCCTCGAACTCACAGAGATCCGCCTGCCTCTGCCTCCTGAGTGCTGGGATTAAAGGCGGCGTGTGCCACCACTGTCCGGCTATCTTATGTTTTCAAATGAACTGCATAGGTACAATGCCTTAAACAGGAGTAAACACATATATACAGTGTACAAAAATAACTTTAAATTTGTACAACTATTCCACAGCATAAACAAATGTAACACATCTTGGTATTCCACCACACATTTGGGTTAGTGCTATGGTTCAATAGGTCAACACAACTGCCACTGAGCCTGATAACCTGAGTTCAATCCCTGGGGCCCACATAGTAGAAGGAGCAAACTGACTCCCACATTCACAGTGCTGTGTGTGCCCCTGTGAATAAATGCACACACACTAAATACTTATCTTAAAGAGTGTATATGATTATGGAGTATTTCAGAAAATCAGTTCTCTCTTCTCTAGGGTTTGCTTTTTTTGTTTGTTGTCGGGTATACTTTGCCATATTCTTAAGAATATTTCCAAAGTACTTGTTCCAGAGATTCTATTACTTGTATGTATTCTTTTTTTCTTAACTTTGTTTTTAGAAATTTCTTTGAATGTTAGGAATATGGAGGAAGAAGCTTAAACTCTGAGCATGAATTTTCAAGGATAGCCAGCCTCCTGACCCCTAATATTAATGCTCTTGTATGTATCGGATGATAGGGTGTGCCTGGGACAAGAAGTGGAGATGGCTGGAGAAAGGGAATGGGGTGGGGAAGCAGTGCCTCTCCTCCTGGGCTCAGTAATGAGGAGAGTGATCTGTCTGCTGTCTCTGAACACCACTCAGTGGTTTTACTAGAACTCCTGTGTCATGGAGTGAGTGTGTGGGAACCACAGTTACGCTGTCGTACTGTCAGACATGGACAGATGTGTCGTTCTCACCCACCCTTTTATATACAAATATGGAATGTTTTAGGATCTGGTGAGCTTTGAGGATCTGGCTGTGAACTTCACCCAGGAAGAGTGGGATTTGCTAGATCCTTCTCAGAAGATTCTGTATGGAGATGTGATGCTGGAAACCTGCAGGAACTTCACTGCCATAGGTGAGTAAGGCTATCATCTTACCTTCACTCCGCAATTAGAGAGCAGGGGTTTCTGTTATTGATGGTCACAGTGATTTGGATGTGGAAAGGGAAGAATGTGATGAAGAAATTAGGTGTAGTTGCAATGTACATTCTAATAATTTAATTACACATTTTCTGTGACAATATTTTAGGATATGAATGTGAAGACCAGAAAATTGAAGAACATTATGAAGATCCTGAAGTAAATATAAGGTAATTTGCATTCAGAAGTGCAAGCAAATATTCCTTGAAGAAATTTTAATGTGCTGTAAAATTTTTGTTTTTAAGATTTTTTTAAAATATTTATTTATTTATTTTTGTTTTTTCAATACAGGGTTTCTCTGTGTAGCCCTGGCTGTCCTGGAACTTACTTTTGTAGTCCATGCTCGCCTTCAGCTCACAGAGATCCACCTGCCTTTGCCTCCTGAGTGTTGGAATTAAAGGCATGCACCACCATTGCCTGGCAAGATTTATTTGTTTTTATTTTATTTTATTGTATATGGGTGTTTTGTTTGTGTGTTTGTCTGTGCACTACGTGCATACTATGCCCTTGGAAACCAGAAGAGGGCGTCAGATCCTTTGGAATTGGATTTAAAGCTGGTAGTTACCCACCATGTTGGTGCTGGGAATTGAATCAGGGTTCTCTGGAAGAACAGCCAGTTCTCTTAACCCTGAGCCTTTTCTTCATCTGCTGTGCCATGAAAATTTAACAAGTTAACAAAACAAAGAATCCCAGCTTTAAATTCATTTATCAGTAGAGAATTTTCACCCAAAGTATTTTTTTGTTTAATCTTTAACCTAGAACCAGTTCTGGGACCCTGCATTAACAAACTCTACTAATTTGATCATAGGCCTATGGGAACCATATTGCAGAACCATCAGTCCATTTATTTTCAGATATTTTGTGTGAAAGCACATATTTTGTGTTTTTTTTTTTTTCTGTTTTTTTTGGGATAGAAAGTTGGTCTAATAGGCAAACAGTAGTAAAACAACTATCACTGATGGGCTTGTCATTTCTTACAGCAGTTATATTTACAGATACCCTGATACTGAAGAAGGTGGTCAGGGTGGTGCAACCTTATCCATAAATGAATCTCAGTATGAGCAGCAATGTGTGTGGAGAAATATTCACGTGTCATTTATTTCATTTTAATAGGCACATCATATCTCACTCTGAATATACACAGTATGAACCTGAGGACTGTGAACAGAAGCCACAGGACTCTAATTATCTTACAAGGATAGAAGGATACACGGAAACTCACACTGTGAATGGACCTTCTGAGTGTGAGGTATGTTTAAAATCCTATGGACTATATCACCTCACTTACAATGGACATCACAACTACGAATACAAGGAGTGTGGAGGAAGCCAAACTGTACGAAAATGTTATGAATGTAACCAATGTGGTAAAACTTTGAGTTCTTTCAATTCTCTTCAAAGACATCAGAAAATTCATATTGAAGAAAGACCATATAAGTGTCAACAGTGTAGTAAGGCCTTTAGATGTCTCAATGCCCTTCAGTCACATGAAAGAATTCATACTGGAGAAAAACCTTATGAATGTAAACACTGTGGTACAGCTTTTAGCAGACTTACTCACCTGCGATTACATGAAAAAGTTCATACTGGAGAAAAACACTATGAATGTAAACAATGTGATATAGTTTTCAAATCTCAGAGTTCCTATCATAGACATAAAATAATGCATGGAGAAACATTTTATAATTGTAAAGAGTGTGGTAAGTCTTTCATTTACCCCTCTTTACTTCAAATGCATGAAAGAACTCATACAGGTGAAAAGCCTTATGAATGTAAACTATGTGGGAAAGCCTTTAGATACCATTCTTCCATACGATTACATGAAAGAACTCATACGGGAGAAAAACCCTATGAATGTAAACACTGTGGTAAAGCCTTTACACGTCAGAGTTATCTTCAGTTTCATGAAAGAAGCCACACTGGAGAGAAACCCTATGAATGTAAAGAATGTGGTAAAGCTTTTAGGCATCACTCTTACCTTCGATTACATGAAAGAAGACATACTGGAGAGAAACCGTATCAGTGCATACAATGTGGCAGATCCTTCAGCCGACAGAGTTCCTTTAAGAGACATCAGTCTGTTCATGCTGTGGAAAACCCTTATAAGTGTCAACAATATCTACTTCCTTTACCCCTGTTTCCTTCAAATGCATGAAAGAACTTACACCAGCACCAAACCTTCTGCATGTGAACAGTGTGATAAAATGCTTATCCTAATTCACATAAAACACACATAAGGACTCAAAATAGTGATGAACCTTTAAACAATGTAGTATAGCCTTCAGGGGCTACAGGGACTATAGAACTCCACCACCTGGAAGCAGTTACCAAAGATGATATCTCCTGCCCTTCAGCCTTCCATAAAAGTTTGTGGACATCATGTATCTCAGAGAGAAGTAATGCAGGAAGAAGGCCAGAAAAGAATGACTGTGAGCCACAGTAACTTATCTCCAGAGCTCAACAACCAAGAAAGGCCAGCACTTGGACTTTGGGGACCATCTTGAGGTTATAGAAACTTTTCTAGCAAACATAGGAAATCATTCCCTATAATCATTAGAAGATAGGTCTGCCATTTTAATGAACTCTCCTTTTTTAATGAAAACTTACAGATTCAAACAGAGGTACACACTTGAGTCTGCTCCTATTCTGTGGAATGTATTCTATGCTGTTATTCTCAAGTTCAGTAAATCTACATATACTCTCAGTATTACTGCTGTGTGTCTTACTCTTTTCTTTGAAATAACCTGTATATCACATCCTGGACACCTCCCCACCCCCTGGGCATAATTTGAGGGCTTTCATATATGTATACAATGTGTTGGTTAAATCCTATTCCCTCTCCTCTCTAATTCTCCCTCTTTTTTTTTTTTTAAACTGTGTTCTGGGACTCACTGTGTAGAAAAGGTTGGCTTTGAACTTAACAGAGATCCACTTGCTTCTGTCTCCCTAGTGCCGAGATTAAAGGTATGTGCCACCAGAAACATCAGTGTACTTTTTTTTGGGGGCGGGGGAATCCACTGAATTCAGATAATGTTGTGTTTCTTTATTTCTGGGCTATAGTACCCAACCCAAAGTAACAAATACATCCTTATTCCTACACCTTGCTATCAGTATTGGCATTTCTACTTTTCCCAGAAGGAATTTATTCCATGTGATCTAAGGAAATTGCAAAGACATTTCCTAAAGGAAATGCCAGGTAAGACAATGTTGACACAGACTCAAGTATCACCAAGACCCCAGAGGTGAGGTACACATGGTGATCTGTGTGGTCTTGAAGACTTGGGTTTTCAGATTCATACAGAGACGTGTTTTGAACGTGTATGGATATTGGTGTGTTATAATGGTGGGATAAACAAAACTAGATCAGACAACTAGTGCGGAAATCCTGGTCTTAGTGCTGCAGATTATATATTCAAAAGTTATAGGTGAGTGGGCTGTAGAGATTTTTCACTGACTAAGAGCACTTGCTGTTCTTTGGAGAACATGGGTTCAGTTCCCAGTCCGCAAGCTGGGAACTGCCACAGCTTACAACTGCCTCTAGTACCAGGGGCTCTAATGCCATCATCTGGCCTCAATACACACCTCCACATATGTTGTACATATACATTACATGTAGGCAAACACAGAAAAATTTCTTAAAATTTATTCAATTTTGGGGCTGAATTCTGGGTCAAAAGATTGCCTTCTGTAAATGAACCAGTAATGCCTGATATATCAAAAATTAATGCTGATGAAGAAATCCACAGACTCAATAAATTGAAATGATGTACCATGTAAAGCCTATTTTCAGTGTTCAGGTTGAGAATAGTACCTTTCACTCATAGTACAAGATAGAAATGTCAGGAGCATCAGCGTATATGAAGAGCTCATCAATTGCCCATGTCTGCATGCCAGGTCTTGCAGTAGCAGGTGGAGCAGCTCAATTTGAAAACCTGAATTCAGTGGGTTTAATGGGATACTGGAGCCACAAGTGTCAAGTGTAAATAAATACTAAATTGCAAAGGGCAAAGTGAGTGTGCTTATCTGATGACAAGATTGGCAAAGCAATGATCAAAATTGTGTTACTCAGAGCTGAAGTGCAGGCACATTCTCAAAGTGTTCCCAGAAATGAAATAGGAAGCCCAGTAAGTCTGTCTAAACTACAGTATATATACCTTGATTTGTAGTCAAAGGCACTCTTGACTGAGACTGAGACTTGACTGAGGCAGGAGGCCAGGTCCTCTTGGGTCCCCTGCAATTTTACATTTCTGTATATGTACATGGGTATGTACATGTGAGTAAATGCACCCACAGAAGCTAGAAGAGGGCATCAGAATCACTAGAGTTGGAGTTATAGTGGGTTCTGAGCCATCCAGTGTAGATTCTGAAGACCAAACTTGGGTTCTTTGGAAGAACAAGTACTTATAGGTGCTTAGCCATCTCTCCAGCCCTCTGTTAATCTTTCTCAGATTCTTCCCCATAGGAAGAATCCTTTACCTGGGTAGCTGTTCCTTGTGAAATAGGACATAACCAGACCCCACAGGTCCTATTGGACATGGGCTGAATTTGGTCATTATGGGTAATCCCAAATAGTGTGTGGCCCTCCTATTAAAGTAAATGCTTATGTCAGGGGTTGGGGGCAGGTGGTCACTGAAATTTCAGGCAACATGCAATTCATACTGGGTCCAAGAAGTCATTCTGCAGTTATTTTTCCAAGCACAGAATTTGTAATTGGGATAATTATACTTGGGTATTGGCACAATCTTCATGTTTTCCCTGACCTGTAGGATGAGGGTTATGATGCTTGGAAATGGCTAAATGGAAGCTATTAGAGCTGTGATTACTAGGGAAAATAGTGAATGAAAAACAATGTCTTATTATTGGGAGGTATAGGGAACAACAGCCTTGCTAGTGAGATCTTAGTGATGGTGAGTGGTGCCATGCCCCTTCTGCCTTTGAATCCTGGACCCTTTACTCCATACATATTGCATATTATTGACAACATCAAAGACTTGGAAAATGTAGGTGTGGGTGGTTCCCTCCATACCTCCCTCTAATATTATCTGACCTATGCAAAATTGGGGTGGATCTTGAAGAATGTGAGTTGATCATTGTAAACTTGTAATAATGTAACGGGAATGGTATGCATGTGTGCCTGAGCTGGTTCTGAAGACATGTTTCATGAAGAAGTAGCCAGTATGCATATGGTCCTTACTCTTGCCACTGATAGTTGTTTTTATTAAGTGAAGCCTTAAGTATTTTTATATTGTTAAAGATAGATAAATTAAATTTACAAAAGGAGGTGAAAACACAGTACTGGTACATATGCTAATTCTCTAGAAAGTTATGACATAAGAGGATTTTCAAAATAGCAAATTATTATCTTTTTTTAATAAACATTACCTTTATATGTTTTTAAATAAACATAAATAAAAGTGAGTGAGTCAGAAGTATTATTATATAAATCAAAATGGGTGAGTGAAGTACAAAATAAAGTACAAAATAAATTTCCAGGACATGAAATCTCATTCAAATATTATTACTGAGGATTTTAAAAAATATCAATTGTAGTAGAAATACTCAAGTCTTAGTCAATATGAAAAACAGGAATTATTTGTGGGAATATTTATAGTATATGCATTACATATGTATGGGCTGTAGTTTCTGCTTTGCTTTTTACATTTTTATTATTAAGAAATTTTCTATTCATTTTATATACCAACCACAGATGCCCCACTCCTCCCTCTCCCCCCCCCCCAGCCTTTCTCCTGAACTCACCTCCCATTCCCACCTCCTCCAAGGCAAGGTCTCCCATGGGGAATCAGCAGAGCCTGGTACATTCATTTGAGGCAGGTCCATCCAAGACCCTCCCCCTGCACCAAAGCTGCACAAGATGTCCCACCATAGGCACTGGGCTCCAAAAAGCCCACTCATGCATCGTGGATGAATCCTGATCCCACTGCCTGGGGTCTCCCTAAACAGTTCAAGCTGAACAACTGTCTCGCCTATCCAGAGGGCCTAGTCCAGTCCCATGGGGGCTCCACAGCTATTGGTCCACAGTTCATGTGTTTCCACATTTGGCTGGCCATCTCTGTACATTTTCCCACCATGATCTCGTTGTCCCTTACTCATAGAATCCTTCCTCTCTCTCATCAATTGGACTTCTGGAGTTCAGCCTGGGTCCTGGCCATGGATCTCTACATCTGCTTCCATCAGTTACTGGATGAACTATGTAACTATGGCTCTATGATGACAGGGTATTCACTAATCTGATTACTGGAGTAGGCCAGTTCCAGCACCTTCTCTATTATTGCTAGTAGTCTAAGGTGGGGTCATTCTTGTGGATTCCTGGGAACTTCCCTAGCACCCTGTTTCTCCCTGTTCCCATGATGTCTTCATATATCATGGTCTCTTTCCTTGCTCTTCCACTCTGTCCCTGTTCCAGCTCGAACTTCCTGTTTCCTTATGTTCTCATTCCCCATCCCTTGCCCTCCATTAACCTCCCTCACCCCCAGTTTGTTCAGATCTCATATTTTTCTCCATCGCTGGGCGATCTATGTGTCCCTCTTAGGGTTTTCCTTGTTAGCTAGCTTCTTTGGAACTGTGGGTTGTAGTCTGGTTATCCTTTGTTTTACATCTGGTATCCACTCATGAGTGAGTACATACCATGTTTGTCCTTCTGAGTCTGGGTTACCTCACTCAGGATGATATTTTCCAGTTCCATCCATTTGCCTGCAATTTTCATGATGTCATTGTTTTTCTCTGCTGAGTAGTACTCCATTGTATATATGTGCCACATTTTTTAAAATCCATTTTTTGGTTGAGGGGCATCTAGGTTGTTTCCAGGTTCTGGCTATTATGAAAAATGCTGCTATGAACATAGTTGAGCATGTGTTCTTGTGGTATGATTGAGCATTCCTTGGGTATATGCCCAAGAGTGGTATAGCTGGGTCTTGAGGTAGATTGATTCCCAATTTTCTGAGAAACCACCATACTGATTTCCAAAGTGGCTGTACAAGTTTGCATTCCCACTTACAGTGGAGGAGTGTTCCCCTTGCTCTGTATCCTCTCCAACATAAACTGTCATCAGTGATTTTGATCTTAGCCATTTTGACAGGTGTGAGATGGTATCTCAGAGTTGTTTGATTTGTATTTCCCTGATGGCTAAGGATGTTGACCAATTCCTTAAATGTCTTTCAGCCATTTGAGATTCTTCTGCTGAGAATTCTCTGTTAAGCTCTGCAGCCCATTTTTTAATTGGATTGTTCAGCATTTTGATGTCTAGTTTCTTGAGTTCTTTATACACTTTAGAAATCAGCCCTTTGTCAGATGTGGGTTTGGTGAAGATCTTTTCTCATTCTGTAGGCTGTCGTTTTGTCTTATTGACCATGTCCTTTCCCCAAAGAAGCTTCTCAGTTTCAGGAGGTCCCATTTATTAATTTTTGCTCTCAGTGTCTGTGCTACTGGTGTTATATATAGGAAGTGGTCTCCTGTGCCAGTGTGTTCAAGACTACTTCCTACTTTCTCTTCTGTCAAGTTCAGAGTAACTGGATTTATGTTGAGATCTTTGATTCACTGGGACTTGAGTTTAGTGCATGGTGACAGATATGGATCTATTTGCAATCTTCTGCATGTTGACATCCAGTTATGCCAGCACCATTTGTTGAAGGTGCTTTCTTTTTTCCATGGTACAGTTTTGGCTTCTTTGTCAAAAACCAGGTGTTCATA